GCTTAAACTACAACTGTCCTAGAAAATTTTGAAGTTTTGGATAAATAACTTGAAGGGCTAAAACTGCATGTAAGTCTTCCTTCTTTCACACAATGGCTTCAAAATCCTTTTGGATGTGTTCAGGCGTAGGCGTTGCAATCCTTGTTCGTTGTTTTCTTCTGCAGCCGACGATGAGATGCAGTTGTGGGCGTCACATTATCGCCGAATAGTTGCACTGAAACATGCTTCTGGGTCACCGCCGTCATAGAAGTAAGAATGTTACATTTGCTTGTGAGTGTGTTTCATTTAGATTTTCGTCTATATCTGGGGACTTATGGATGAAGAAGAAATGTGGTTCCCAATTTGACTTCACAATCGAGAACACATGAGTAGACCAACCATCAGGCCGTACTTCCGCTTCATGTATCTGGCGTTTCAGAGTATCAATCTCAGTACCCAAGCAGAGTAATTTAGCAAATAGCACCACCAGTGGCCACCTTGATCACAAAAGCCGGACGATGATGTGACTGCTGCAGAGGAGTAAGGTGACGTCGCCATGAATCTGGGTTACTCAATTCTGTCATTTCCGCCCAATCATGCACCTGTCCCGAGACCTTAATCGACGAAACTGTTGCTGAATTAGTCTGCAACATTTCTGCATCATTAAGTACATCTTCGAGGAAATAAAAATCAGTGCTTTGTACTCGTTTTCATTTATATGAATCGGGAATCTTTGCAGATACTGCCGTTTTGTCACGTGACGATAATCTCTGCTGTAAAGCTGTCTTTATCTTACCAGAAGTAGCCTATGGTGAAATCCTTGACGCCAGGATTTCTGATATTTTGTAAATTACCGGGACAACCAGATTGTACCCTCAAAAGATGAGATATTTGCTCTCGGCGATGGTGTTGACAACTAGCCACGAGTACCTTACGAGTTTCATTGTTGCAAAAGTGTTTCCAGAACATATATACCGCAATTGGATGCTGATGGATTATTGGAAACCACAAAATTTGCATATGCACGAACTACTGCAAGCTGTGCGCTCAGGAAACCCTAGTGAGCATTGCCAAATACCAGTAAATGTCGACAAACCATTGCTGAGTTGGGGTTAAGGGTGTAGCCTTACTTTAGGTAGTTGTTACTCGTTAACAGTCGTTTTCCCCACCAGCTGAATACACTTCTATTGAATGTGATCAGAAATGCTACACAGGAATCAAACGACAACCCTAAAACAAGGCCTGAAAATTGGTGTACCAAGACATACCAGGTTAGTTAGCTAGCTACTAGACATTATTAATAATCATCGTGGACCCTCCCTCTACTAAAGTCTGATCAAGTTGAACACGGGCATATGGAACTACTGAAGTCGTCCTTAGCGTGACACAAGGAGCTAACAGAAAACAACATCCAAAATGATAAAATATCGCGTCTACAATAACAAAAACACCCAAAGTACTAATTGAGCCACGTATTCCAGTTGTAGCAGGTTATTTGCACCTAATTAACTCCTCTGTAAGCGACGGGGCACCCTTGCGTTCATAGTGGCAGCACACTTTTCCGATAATACGCTAATAGACATGAAATCATTCGCCTGAACCAGGTACATAACTGATGCCACCACTCATCGCTCAAATGGTGATTGCAGCATCCATCGCATTTTCATACTCTGATCCTCAGTTTTAACAACTAAATCTTTATAGAATGATTTAGGCCGTAAAATTATTTATGAGGGCATGGATACGTTCGCGTCCAAGCAACGATCACTTAACTTCCTACGAAAAATGCAAAGCCCAAGGCTGGACGCTGATTCCGGCGTAGCAATTAGAACTCGATGCAACGTTTGTCCCAGCTGAAAGGTAGAAGAATACTTTAAGATTGATCCTAGAAAGATCTCGGATGTCATTACTGAGATACTTTTCTGTCTCACGACAGAATACACGATCTGAAGAATTTTTTTGAAACCAATTAGCTCGTATTACTGTACCCTTGAAGTTTTGGGTATCGATAGAAGCCTCACGTTTGGACTTCAACGAACCCGTGAGAATTTCTACATGACCCAGTAATTTTCGCACGGATTTCAAATACACACGAGTTTTTGGAGAGTGTCCTACTCTTGAGAGACAGCCGTACTCGTGACAGATAATTCAATTTTGGTTACACCAAATTTTAACAAAAGCTGATGTTTTTGACAAAGATTATAAAACAGCAGCGATCAAATGAAAGCGAAGTTCCTTAGAATCTGTTGAATGGATTAGGGCAAGAAAGTTATAAACAGCGAAAAACAATAGAATGTAAGTTACTATTATTGTTACACCTCGGGGATTAGGATAAGTGGCGATTAGAAATACAAGGTCTAAGCAGATATGGGTTCTGTTGGAGATCGTTACACATACCAACAAGTATAGAATGGAGATTTGTGTTCACTATAAACACAATTCATAGGGAGTATCAAGAAAATAGGCTCTTGTGTCATCTTCAACGGGCGCTCAGCGGACGCGAATTCGTGCGTATTATTGTGTTCCGATTCTAAACTAGGAATCTACAATATTAATTCCGGACTTTTCTAACTGAGCTTGGTCCTTCTATACATTGCGTTAACATTCCAGATTTTTCACCTTTTGCCCTAAGAAACCGCACTGAAGCTAAAGAACTACCGGCCGCCATCGTAGCTTACGAAACATCTCTCTTCGGATGCGAGTCTTTTAATAAACGACCAAACGGCACTGTGGTCCGGCACATTTACACCGCTTTGTGGCCAGTTTCTTTCTCTACGTACACAACAGAACATAAAATGCTAAGTTCCACCTCTTCACGCTCGTATTTTTGTCATCTTATGGCAACAGTCTGCACTGCGTGGTGCGTGAAGGATCTGCCAATCCATTCACTGGACAATTTCTAGCTTTTAAATTGCATTATATAAACGTGGATTTGTATTGTTTAACTTCGGGTTTAGTCCGCAAACACTGTGTAGAATACTGATCAGAGAAATGAAGCTGAGTAATTCATCTGCTGACTTGTGAAGAACTAACCAGACAAATAGTGAGGCAACAGAACAGAATACCTAAAACCTTCCTGCTCTAATAGCGCCTTCCGGCCCTAATTGTGCCTATCGGGTACCGCTGCCAGTGAACCAAGAAGGCACGATATGAAGATTCGAAGGGCTCTAATGCAAGCCCACTTTTGACTGCGGGCGATAAGTTTCGCTTGAGTTAATGGCACGTGCATGAATAGTTAGAAAACGAATTTGATTCACTGTGTTGTGTCATTGAGGAGTAAATAATCCGGTAGTTATCTGGTTCTCATTCCCACAAGAGTGACGAGAGAGAGAGGCAAAGAGGGAGCAAAGATGCTCTTCTCTTAAAGGTAGAGGGAAGAAAAAAAGCATTGTTCATTATAACGAGCTTAAGACTTCAAGTTAGGCAGTGTACCACTCTGTTTAACAGCGTATACTCCCGAGGGTTTTCTTGAACCACGCCTGAAATTTGCGCGCAACGCAGAGTAATAAAATATTCGGCTGACACAACCCTTTGAACCCATGGACTAAAAAAAGAAGCGGGATTAGTGAAGGAAGTAGGGTAACATTGAGAAGCGTACAAGCTTAAATGATATCTTAGAAATAGAAATAAAATGTCGAGTCATACTTGCGTGTCTTATAAGCACCGCTGGAAAGTCGTGTTTAAAAAGCACGTAGTTGAGGTGACGTGAGCCGAGAAGGATTCTAGCCACCGAGAATCGAGTGAAATAATACAACTCCACAAGCGTCTGTTGTTGGTCTGCATAATCGGACCAACATACCGGTTACCTCAAGAGATCGATGTTTCACTCCATTTGGTCTCAATGAAACGCCAACTACTCACGACATCGACACCTCGCGGCGTTCATCCGGTGTTCTCACCTCTAAGGGCCGTAAGCCTGAAAGCTTAAATGTCATTCACTCGTAATGTAGACAGCATTCTTATCATGATCATCATTGTCGGCTGTAATAACCGTATACTAGTATAGTGGTTGTAGCTGCCGCGATTTCGTTCATCCATGAGTTGGGGGGGGATAGGAGCGGTGCATATTGCAGGCGAGAGCTGATAAATTGGTGCATAAATCCAGCACTGTTTGTGGGCTGTCAAGTGGGGGGTTGGTTGGAAAAAAGAGCTGTGCATTGAAGGCAATAGCTTAGATGCACGAACACCATTAAGGGCGCGACTGGGCCATCTCTGACAATGTCTCTAGTCCTTGATGTGGTCCGTCTCGGGGTCCTCATCCAGGAAGACGGCAGTGACCAGCGCAGCTGAGTTTGCTGGTAATTGCTTGTAGCGAACTAGGACATTATCAGCGTGTTCGAACAAATTAACGAGCAAAGTAACCAATACAAAACCACAAAATCACAATATGAAAAGAATGAGTAGTCAGATGAGGACACACGAATGCGTAGATCCAATAGTCCACTACACCGAACCAAATGCAGTAACCGGCTGTGAAAGAAATATTCACTTGTAGAAATTTCCCACGAATGATTTGCGTATGAGTGATATATTCCACGATAGGAAAGTTATTCACGGCTAAAAAATCTCACGGGGATTTATTGTGACGTTCAACAGTTGACGCAAACACAGAGATCTAGCCCCGCTGGTTTAGCAGTCAGCAAACTGTCCAACGGAGCGTAAACACACTCGTTCAGCATGAAGTCGGCAGGTCGCACCGAAAAATGGTGTATTCGTAACAATAAAACAAACGTCATGATAAAATAGGTACGACAGTTACAAAGTGCATTTTAAGTTCAGGAAAATGGTAAATGACAACGAATTACAGACGCTACGGGCTTTAATACTTCGCTGTCAAGTCATTGTTTGACCGCCTCTGGCTCTATTCAACCCTTCACGTGGTTGTGTGAAAAGAGCCCTTCGAGGAAGTCGGTCGATTGGCATACGCAGCACGTGGCCAAGCCAGCGCAACCTATGCGGTGTGATCAGTTCATTCATCGAGGGTGAGTTATTTCTCCCGAATACCGTTCGACGTACTACAGAACTGCTGCTCTGGTGTTCCCACCAGATTCGGGCAATGCTCCGGAGACATCGATGGTCAACACTGAAGGTCTTTTGACTTCCTCAGCGCACAGCGGCCAGGTTTCTGATTCATATAGGGATACGGAGCAGACAGCATTCTAGCGGTTTGCGGAAGTGCTACCCCGTTATTTCTAGGCTCTAAGCTTGGTTTACTCTAACTTGTTTTTCCTTCAATCTTCCCCGTCGTCCTAGAAAAAGATGACGATCTGTCATATCTATCGGTACAGCGTGATCAATAATAATACACAGAGCGAAAACATAGTACATTCGCTGGTTTGTCTCAGCGTGATCTCATCCACAAACCAGGCTTTTTCCACTGACAGTAGTGGAACTATATACGAACAGGGAGCTGGCTGCTATTCCCATGATTCCAAAGACTTGATGCGTGCCCGAAAAACCTTAAAGTCGGATATCAGAAAACGTTAAAAATCCCTTACTTTTTTAGCCACTGTTTCTGCAGGTTCTACCCTAATCACTGCTTACAGGCACCCTTTCATCGGTTCTTCCGCCGGGCACTTCGACCTACTCATTTGCGGGGAACATCAGCGTCCAGTTCATTGATTGCGCAGATCCCCAAGAAAGGTTCACCGCTTGTCTCTAGTGCCCCCTTTGATCGATTACTTTTACAACTTCCACTCTGTACTAGCCGTTGTACGTAAATCGCCAAACACAAAGTGCATCCCAGTACCCAGTGCTAATTAACAGACAGTCTAGTATGACTCTACCACTTCGTATGGACGCGCTGATATCAGGAGCAGATGCTTAGCAAAATACTATTTCAGTGGTTGCGACAGTAACTGAAATACTTTTTGCTTGGAGGTTCCACACTAATTCCAAGACTATTTCCAAACTCTTGGGAGGCACACAAAATCATTACAGGCGAAAATTGATGGGCGAAGAAAAACAACAAAATACCCCAGACCAGATAAATATGAGTATAATATGTGGGCAAGTTGCGAGCTCTGAAAGACTAGGATCCAAGGGACAAAACAGGAGTGGTGTGAGCCTTTTGTGGAAACAGATTTTAGCGTTTTGTTTCAAGTGTTACAGATTCTTTCAAACTGGCGTCGAATGAGAAGATCAGTGATCGGCTCAATGCAGAAAACAAGGACTGAAATATAGATAGACACCATACGGAATTTTAACTGCCATTCATAATGGTCCTCTAAGCGGGTTAATTGCATAAAACTATGATGAAAAGCAGCTAATTTGCGGATAACACGGACTTATAGTGCATCAGGATATCAAGGTACTAAAAGCTGAATGGTAAATTCAGCTTGCCATATAAAGGACATCATCAAAAGCAGTTGGATGTAGGCTTGGACTAAGTTCATATTTATTAGTGGGTTGTAAAATGATGGAGTGCCGTGAGAAATGCAAGTGAGTGGGTGAGGTATGCGATCAAAAGTTCCGGTGTGCCATCGAGTGAAGTATGACGGTGCCATGCCATCAATAAAAGCCTTGGCGGCCTTATGTTTGAAGCCGTTAGGCTAGCAAAAATGGGTCATCATGGAGGCAGTCAAGTCATCATGAAATCGCATTGCGAACCGCGTGGATGAACGACAGGAATTAGACAACTGACGGGTGCGGTGGGAACATGTTGATATAGAAAGTAGAAGCTGGCGACGTTCAGCGAGCCTTCAGATTCGAACAGCAGGTGAGTGAGAATGTTTTCATTCACGATCAAGACGACTAAATCATGGGTGATGGGACAGTTAAATAAACGAGACACCTGAAGAAAAGGCGTACTCCAAATAGTCGAGGATATCCTAGACGGTGGCACCGTAGACAAGGATAGCATATGTGTGTATGTGCAGGCTGGTCTAAAGGTAGGGAGGGTAGCGTTACCTTAAGAGCAACCTGTGAACGAAGCGCTACAGGTTGTGGGTCGAAGGAGCAATTGTGTAGATAACATTCCGGTTAATCTAAATGGAAAAATGCAAACGTTGTGTGTATACATAAATGAAGCGCTATGTACAAAACAGGTGCCATTTAGCTTTGCAGCTGGCGGTGAGTAGAGAAGGTTACTGCGGCTCTCAAACCAAAGAGGTCAGAAAGTAGCAAAGCGATAAACTGGCCGTGGTGTCGATAATGTTAACAGTTGGCCTAAAGACTAACCATTGGATGAAAGCTCAGAGTGTGACCGAGGCTACTTACTTTGGATGTATGCCATGAGCGAGATCAGTGGGCACTTTATTCTACTATGGTTATCACAGCGGGGTAAAAGTACGAGAAGCAAGGGCCTGACAAATGAGGTCGACGTGCGTTTCATAAAGACAGAAGCTTCGATGAAGTTGGCAACAATGTAAGAACTTCCGTGGGTGAAAAACGTATCGACCAAGAAGTTAATCGAGTTGCCTCTTTGGCGTTGACAGAAATTTTGGCTAAAAGAGCGGCTGCAAGCAGCAACCGAGCCACTGATTATGCAGATGATGTGGGGACAAGTGCATGGTGATGGAGAGTTCAACCTGAGGAGGTGGATTTTCGAGAGGGACGTTTGTCGGAAGCTTTGACCACCGTAAGTTATGGACAGTTACAGTAAGAGGTCCGAAATATTATTCGTTGATGGCACGAAGAGGCAGGATACAATGAAGGACATATTTGGGTCACATTTGGGACAGTAAATGGGGCTCAAAGTGACATCAGTCTGTGAAGATGGAGTTCAGTATACCGCATCCTGTTGATTTGATAGTTTTTGTGTGCCCAAGTGTTATCAATCAAGATGCATTTTAAGCCACGACGTGATGCCGATCGTCCAGGCGCTAACGGATCCTCGAAGGTAAAGTATCCGTAGGGCTGTCAGTCTCTCCATGACTGATGATTCGAACGCCGTATCAGAAATAAAAGAACCGCGATGGGTTGAAGCCCTTAAAAGAAAGTTTTCTTCTCAGTAGGTATGTGAGCATTTAGCGTGGCTACATACAGAAGAACTCATTATTACAGTATAGGAAGGAGAGTAGATAAGCCTGGAAACGGTTAGAGAGTTGCCAGTGAGTACCTCCAACTGGTTTGGGGTAATCGTGGCATTCTCTTGCCAGCGCTCGGACAGTCGGTGAGTTGGTGTGTAGGTCGCCTTGCCACGAGGTGTTTCGTCGGACATCTCGAAAAGATAAACTGTTAGTAGTTAAGGTAAATAAGCTGTTCGGAGAACAAGATTCGGGAATAGGCAC